CAGAACGTTAAAAGACTGACTCTACTTGAATAATATAAGAGCCGTTTTCAAATTGGTGCTCTGATAATTGTTTTTTGCCATCTTTTTTTTTGACCAAAATAACACCAAAACCAAAATTATTTTTACTATGTTTTTCCTTAATATAAATGAAAAAATTCTTTTCCAAATAAATTATTTTTTTAACATTACAGATAGTAGAAAAATAGGGTGTCAGGAATAAATTGGGTGTCAAATAAATTAGGGATTAGTTAATGTAAAAAAATGGGTTTAGTTTTTTTTTATTTTTCCCCCCCAAAAAAAAACATTAAATAACTCAAAATCAATCTAACACCCAATTTATTCTTGACACCCAAATTTTCTACTATCTGTAATAACACTTATTTAGGGAATGTTTTTATAGTTTAAAAAATAAAATTTTGTTGTTTTCAAAGATATTTTTTTATTTAAAAAAACACAACATATTTTTAACATAGAGTCAGTCGGATAACGTTGTTCAGTCCCCAAACGTTGTTCACCTCAGAATCTTCTAAATAACGGCTAAATCTTCTACAAAAAATGTAAATATTAAAATAGAACACCAATAACATTTTCTTTTTCATATTATATTTTTCTTTTTCCAAATCAAAACGAACATAAAACCAACAAAATCATTTAATTTCAAGATCTTCACGTTTCTTGCCGAAATCAACAAACACCCCGGAAACCATGCCAAAATGACGATCTCAAGTTGAGACCGTTCAATCGGCGAAAGTTGGCTGGTTTCCACTTGCTGCGGTGGAAATGCAGAAGGCGCTCCGTCAGGTCGTTGCAGCACTTAGTCGCCTCTAGTTTGTTAATATATATTTCCAATTCAACTCAATTCAATTCAATTTAATACAAAGAACAAACATCTTTTATTTTTTTAGTTCAAAGATAACCTTTAAGTTCTCTAAAATCAAGGTAAAACTTTAAGTGTTATGTTGGCTATGTTATTCACTCTTTTTTCCTAATGATAAGTCTGTATTTTTTCAAGGGTTTTTATAGTATAATTTATAGTTTTGTATAGAATGTTATAATATTTATATTTATCGTTCAATTGATACACCAAGTATTTTAACGGATTTAAATTCAACTCCAATACATTTTACTGCAAGTTTTATTCATTTATTATCTTATTTATTTCCGTTATATTTTTTATGAAGAAAATAATAAAAGTTTAAAAATCCATTAGAAACTATATTTTAACTATAAAATACTTATAAATGAAAACTATCAGTTGTTGAATTTAAAAGCTCTGATTTTTTTTTTGTAATAAGACCAAGTAAAAAAAATTTAAAAAATTTTAAACATTGTGAGCTTTTAACACGGCTCATAAATGCCTTTTGGCAACATTATTTGAATATAGAATTACAAGAGTCAAGTGCTTTTTGAAAACGCTTGGTTTTAGTAATCACAATAAAGGCTGAACACTTGAATTGTAATTTAGTATGTTTAATGTGTTTGTGTTTTTTTTGTTACTATATTTTTGAAAAAAAAATGTAATTGTTTTATCGTTTGTTTAATGCTTTCAATAAGACGAAGCATTGTAATGCTAGGCTCTTTAGACGGTATTATTACAAAAAGCTTTGAATCAATGATTTTTTTTGTGAGTTGAAAAGATTTAAATTAAAGCATACCAGAGTCCCTGATATGTTCAAACATATAATTAAATAAACTTGATGTTATATTTTCATTTTCTTGTTGTTCAAAAAGCTTGTAAATTATTCAGTATAAAAATTATGTTTTACTTGTGTTGAAAAGTGTTATGTTTTCAATTTTATTTACTCATCCAATTTTTTGTTTTTTATCTTTTCTGAACATATGTTTTTGTAAATAAAAGGAAGAAAAATAATAGAGTTAAATTATAACCAAAATGTGGGATTATTAGGGTTGACGTTTTTTGTTTTGGAGTTGCTTTAATTCAATTATTTCTTTTTTTTAACTCTTTTAATTTGTTTTAAAGCGGGAATTGCTAAAAAATAAATTTTAACATGGTAAACATTATTGTTATTTGCCGATAGTTTCTTTTATTGAAGGAACTTTATATTGTTCTAAAAATATAACACTAAAAAAACAACGTTTGGGGAGTGAACAACGTTAACTGACTGACTCTAGAGTCAGTCAAACAACGTTGTCTGGTCCAACAACGTTGTCTCATCGAAAATATTCCAAAATTTCAAGAACATTCCACAAACTATTGAGAATTGTAACAAAAAATTAAAAAAAAATATTATTTTTTTATTTAAAAAATATTTTTAAATTATTAACTTTATAAAAAGAACTACAAAATAAAATTAAAAGATTCATTTATTACTCGGTTACATTTTAATGCCTTGTTCAAAAACCCCGCCAAACGAACGATCTCAAGATGAGAGTAAATAAACTGTGAGAAAGTTCAATTTGATAATAATTAAATAATGGGAAGTTGTGGAAATACTCAGTAAATTGAAGACCGAGCGAAATATTTACATGGTTAGATGGGTCCATATTTAATGGAGGAGTATAAATATAACACATTATTCATAATTCAATCTTCTCGTTAATATAAAGACAGAATAAATAACGTAATTTGTCAATGTGTTGCAATGGAATAAAACAAATAAAACAGACCTTCAAAACACAAATGTTAATGTCTTTAAAAAGTTTGACCTAACACTGAAACCAACCCTTCAGAAAAAAATGTATTTAAACGTTTAATTAATAAAACTATATTTTTAATAACATAAAAATAATTTATCTAATAACATTTTAAACTATTAATAATAAATGAAATAAATTAAATAATCATTATCAAAGTTGTGTAATTTTTACTCTCTCGTTTTTGAACAGGATAAAGCCATATGGTTCTTCTAGTTTTGAGTTGTCACGTTTCCGAGATTCTTGTCTCAAAGTTTTTAATACCTTTTTCATTGCCAATCTTTCACTGAGCCCTTCAAGAAGAAGCCTGTTTTTACACACATTTATTTCTTCTTCGTCAAAAAACCAATCAATTTTGGAACAAGACTTTGGCACAATCTCACGCACAACATTCATATTGTCGAGTAGTCTTGGAACTAAACCACAAGCAACAAACGCTGCAATAACATTTTTCGTGGTTGTGGCTTTTTGCCAAGAGTTTATTATTGATAGAATTTGAAGTGATTGATAAGACAAAGAAGAAAACGAATCTTTCATGAAACTTTTTTCATATTCACACACTCTTTTCTGGTTGGCAAACACGGCAACATCGAGAACTTGCAATAAATGCGACGAATGACTCGGCATGAGCATGACACGAATGTTATTTCTGGACATTATATTCACCGAATGTCGACTCAAATGCGAACCATAACCATCAATGATGAATATGGCCACACCATAATAATCAAACAATTTTCTTTTTTCGTTTAATATTTTAACAAATACGTTTTCAAGCCAATCCTCGAATAGATAAGTGTTCATAACTGCCTTTTTTGAGTATTTTAAAATGGCATTTTTCTTGGTCACTCCATTTTCTACAAGTTCCCTTTCAACACTTTTAGTAGAAACTATAAAATATGGAGGTAACGCAGAACCATCCATACACACCACTCCAAGCATATTAGTTCTGTTACCATTGCGTGAAATAGGAATGTTAACCACATCTCTTGTCTCATCTGAAGATACAATAACAACGCTATCCATTTTATCGGCCCACTGCTGGAAGCCAGATTCGTCTCCATTAAAAATAAATGCTATTGGTACTCCAGTAACGTTTTCTGATAAGAGTTTAAAGTAAGTTTTAATTTTTTCGGGTTCAACTTCAACGCGTTCAATTTCCATACACTTTCCGGTTACTGTTTTAATACGTTTGTCTGTTGCAACGAAGTGATAGAGAGAATTTTTTGTTACATCTTCTCGACACAGTGTTGTCACAATAAAAAGCATTAAATCACTGTAACTCACTGGTACTTTATTTTTTTCACTTTCTTTAATTTGTTTAATCAAAGCATCTTTTTCTTCAACTGAAAACACTCCCTTTCTTCCCGATTTTCCCGGAAGCGTCTTTGCACGACGTATTTGCCTCCCCAAACATCTGCAGATATGTTGGAGGTAATACTCG